GTGTTGTCCAAATGCTGCTTGAGCTCTGGCAGCCTTGGGGCTGTGACCACTTCCCAGTGGAACCGGTTCAAGTGTCCAACATCCCCCTGGAGAAAGAACCTTTTCCTATTATTGAACCTAAACCTCCCCTGACTCAGCTCCAGCCATTCCCTCGGGCCCTGTCACTGATCACAGAGAACAGAGATCGATGCTGCCCCTCCACTGCCCCTCATGAGGGAGCTGCAGACCATGGTGAAGTCTGTTCTCAGTCTTGTCTTCTCCAGGTTGAACAAGCCAAGTGCCCTCAACCACTCCTCCTATGGCTTCCCCTCTAGACACTTCACCATCTTAGTAGCTTCTATTGGACAATCTCTAATAGCTTTAGATCTCTGAGAGGTGATGGAATTGGGAGTGGAAAGGGGAAAAAAGCTCCTGAAGAGATATGTGCGCCAGAGCCTGCTCCCAGTCTTCATCCACTGGCATGATGAGAACCAGCATGTGGAAGAGGTGAGGACTTTCTAGGCTCTGGTGTCCCCGTGGGAGGGGGCTGGACTGCGTCCTGCCCTGGAACCTTGAAGGCTCCAGCCTCCTCCTGGCCTTGGTCCAGGGACACGGCTCCTGTGCCCTGGGCTGTGGTGCCATCTCCTGGACTCTGTTGCTCTGCAGGCCTCTGGGGAAACGCTGATTCATGCACTCAGGTTCCTGAAGAGAAGGGATCTCAAGAACCTGCTGGAGGCAGACAAGCTGTAGTGGTTCTGCAACTGCTTGGTAAGGATGGCCATGAAGCCCCAGCCTCAGGCTGGACCAGCCCCTGATGCCCAGAGTGTGGGGGTGGCACTGTGCCCCTGCCCACTCCGCAACCCCCCCGCGGAAAACAACCCGCAACCCAAAACCCGCCGCCCTGCACCGGGCCGGGCGGCCCCCCCGCAAGGCCCCCCCCCCCCAACCAAGGGGCCAATGGAGCCCCGGCCCAGCTGGGCTGTGGGGCAGGGCGGCCCCACGGCTGCCGGGGAGCAGCCAGCCCTCTGCTCCCTCCAAAGCCGGCCCCTGCGGCTGCTGCCCGGGCCTCAGGGCTGTGCGGGCAGGGGAGGCCAGTGCTGGGTGCAGGCAATGCCCAGCCAAGGGGCAGAGCCCCAGCCAACCCTTCCCTCTGTGCCCTGCTGCTCTCTCCAGCTGGAAAAGGACAAGAGAAGACCGGACAAGTATGTGCACCAGGCCCTTCCATACCTGGAGAGCCCACAGGAGCCCCTTCCAGCTGATCCCATTGGGCCCTGCTCCCTGCTGGCCATGGCAAGAGCTGGGTGGGAGGGCCTTGGCAGGAGGGGCTCTTTGGGTTCCCTCAGGCGCTGGCTCTGACCTTGGTTCCTTTCTGTTCCAGCCCTTGAAGGCATCACTCCTGACAGCGCTGCTATCTCAAGCCTAGCAGTTCTAACTGTTAAATTCCTAAGAGCTGCAAAGAGACCTCAGTCTTCTGCATGTTCCAGCAAGCCCAAGCCTAGCTCCAGAATGTGGGGAGTAGGATGCCTCCTCTGTGGGGCAGCTGCCAGAAGTCTGTGGAGAACTGATCCTGGGAACTCTGTCTGACAGGGCCACCTGAGCCTGCGGGAAAGACCTCTCCACTGCAAACACTTCCTTTCAGACCAGCATGAGAATATGAAACCTGTGTTATAGACAGAGGTCCAAGAGGCTTTTTGTTGCCAGTTGTCCACAGGGCACCGGGGAAGAGGGGAAAAAGAGTCCTTGTGCTCAGCAACATTTGCCCAAATGTGCAGTGGGGAAGGGAAAGTGGGCAGAACCCCAGAGCCCTTGGTGGTTCTGCTGGAGCCTCAACACTTCCAGCAGAGCAGATGGGCAAAGCCTGGAGCTGTGGGGATCCCTGAGAACCTCCACCTGGTTCGGAGGTGGCCACAAGCCCTGTGCCAGCCAGGAATTAGCATCTGTGGCCTGCCCGCGTGTTGCTGTCTGGATTGCTGAGGGCTAGAAGATGCCTCCTGAGCTGCACCAATGCCGGGCAGGTTGTCGGGGCTGGGGGAGAACCTGAGGGGACGGGGCACTGGGAGGCCCTGAAGGGCTGAGGTGCTGCAGAGGCCCTGCCATGACAAGGGAGTGGGAAGCCCTGAGGGGAATGTGTGAGGGGGTGGGTGGCAGGAGGCTGCGAGAGGACAGGCTGGGCAGAGGAGGCCCTGAGGGGACAGGGTGTGGAAAGCCCTGAGCAACTGGGGGGCAGAGGCCATAAGCAGCCCCCAGGCAGCCCCCTGGTTCCCTGCCAGCTGGCTGCTCTGGCGCTTGCCCAGGGCGTCTCCCATCCCTGTGGCAGAAGTCCGATGGGACATGAACCTTGTGGTGCATCTGCTGTCCATCTCCTCCATGCAGGCACCTTACAAACATGTGCATGGGCTTCTAAACTCTAAATCCAGGATGTTCTGGGAACAAGGGAAAAAGGAGCAGAAGCTGAAGAAACGTGGGGACTCATGACTGAGGTCCAGGCGTGGAGGTAACTAAGCACTTTGATGTCTGTTGAATAGATGGCCAGGGTCACAAGCTCATGGTTTGCTGCCAGAGGATCTGGTATTGGGTCTGTCTTAGAATGTGTTGGGTCTGGCTTCATTTCCCCATAGCAGCCATCACAGTGCTATGCTTTGCATTAGTAGCTAGAAAGGTGTTAAGAACACCCAAGTGGTTTGGCTACTGCTGAGCTGTGCTAGCACAGCATCAACACTGTCTCTCAACATTCCCCTCTCCAACTGAAGGCAAGTTCCTTGGAGGGGACGCAACCAGGCCAGCTGACCCAAGCTAACCAAAGGGCTATTCCAGACCATATGATGTCAGCTCAGATATAAAAGGTAAGGAAAGGTGGAGGAGAGAGGGGCATTTGTTGTTTACAATGTTTGCCTTCTGAACAACCAGTACATGTACTGAAGCCCTGCTTCCTAGGAAGTGGCCAGACTTCACTCGCTAATGGGAAGTAGAGAGAAAGCCTTGTTATTTTCCTCTTTGCTTGTGCATACACAAACTTTGGTTTTTGCTTTAGGAAACTGTCTTGTTTCCTAAAGTCATTTTCCATCTTACTCTCTCTCCCATGTCTGGCTGGGAAAGAGAGGGATAGAGCGGCTTGATGGGCACCTGGCATCCAGCCAAAGTCAACTCACTACAAGGATCCTGCTTTGGTCTTGCTGGAGGTTATTCCTTACCAATGCATGGCCCTCTATTATTCCTGGATCAAGTGTTCTGGACTCGTGGGAACACGTGTGCCCTGTGTCCATCCGAGAGCAGCAACTGGCAGAACACATCTGCTTCTAGCACTCGGCTGCTCCTTCAGGGGGGTGGCACCTTAATCAGAGACATAGAACATGTTTGGATCCCAGAGTTCTCCCTATCCTTTTCACTTCCCCAGTGCACTGGATTTAAGCTGCTGGCCACAGCCAACTAGTTCCTTGCTGACCTGGAGCTTTATCAAGGCTTCTGTCTCTTGCATCTTGTCTCTCGAGACACAGATGTAGAATGGTGGGGAGATGTTCAGCCTGCTCAGGCTGTTTAGGATGATGAAGAAGGAAGGCTGTGGGGCTGCCCCAGCACACTCCATGACATCTCAGTTCTGGCTTGTATGTCTGCATTACATGATTATTCACTTTCGTTCCCCGCATTCCTGTTTCATATTCCTGACATTTCCAAACACTTACTAGCATATATACAACATATCCTTATAAGGTCTCTGAGGGGCTTCACCGAGGGTCTCTGGTGGTCATCTCTGTATGGAGGCCCCAAAGTTCTGAGTGACCACCTTATGATAACACTACTGGTTACACATCAACTGGGCATTGCCTGCTCAGCTGCTTCAGCTCCTTTCTTCATTGTTTCCTCTCCTTAGTTGGCTGATTTCTATAGACAAGCTGCACCTGAAGTTGCCAAGTGTTGCTGTGAGGCTGGGCAGTCAATAGAAAGCTGTTGTGGCCACTTTTCCTGAAGCCTTTTCCAAACCACGTGCAGTTGTGCCCACAGTATCCCCGCTTTTGGCATGCTGGCCGGTGTGGGAGCCTGGCTGGGGAGGCCCAGGCGTTGTGGCTGCTGCTCCTGTGCACAGCCTGCTGCTCTTGTCTGTGCCTTGGGCAGCAGTGACTGCGCGGCCCTGCCCAAGGTGCCCCGCGCCCTCCCCGTGCTGGCAGCAGCTCTGTGGGCCTAGAGCTCTGGCTCAGTGGGCTCTGGGCCACAGCCCGTGGGCTGGGCAGCCACAGGGACCCGGGCTGGCCCATGGCCCTGCCTGTGCCCCTGCCCCTGGCCGGCAGCACCCTGCCAGGGCCCCCTTGCCCTCCTTGTCCCCACCCTTGGGGGTGTCCCCACCCTCCTGCCCAGGTCTCCAGGCCTTCTGCCGCAGGGATGGGAGATGTCCTGGGCAAGTGCCAGAGCAGCCAGCTGGCAGGAAACCAGGGGCTGCTTATGGCCTCTGTCCCCCAATTGCTCAGGGCTTCCCACACCCTGTCCCCTCAGGGCATCCTCTGCCCAGCCTGTCCTCTCACAGCCTCCTGCCACCCACCCCCTCACGCATTCCCCTCGCTGCTTCCCACTCCCTTGAGGGCCTCTGCAGCACCTCAGCCCTTCAGGGCCTCCCAGCGCCCTGTCCCCTCAGGCTCTCCCCCAGCCCCCACAACTGGCCCGGCAGCGGCGCAGCCCTGAAGGAGCTCCACAGGAGCTGGCTCAGGAGGCACCTGCCAGCCCTCAGCAATCCAGAGAGCAACACACGGGTGGGCCACAGATGCTGCTTCCTGGCTGGCACAGGGCCTGTGGCCACCTCCAAGGACCTTCTTCTCAGTGATCCCCACAGCTCAAGGCTCTGCCCATCCGCTCTGCCAGAAGTGTTGAGGCTCCAGCAGAAGCCCCCAAGGCCAAGGGCCTTTTGGGCACTTTCCCTTCCCCACTGCACACTTGGCCAAGTATTGCTGAACACAAAGTCCCTTTTTCCCCTCTTCCCAGATGCCCTGTGGACACCAGGCACTAAAAAACTTCCGCAGCCTCTGTGTATGCTAAGAGGAATTTCATATTCTCAAGCTGGGGTAACAGGATGAGAAGGGTCTTTCCTGCAGGCTCAGGTGGTCCCATCAGACAGGGTTCCCAGGATCAGTTCTCCGCTGACCTCCGGCAGCTGCCCCACAGAGGATCCTTTCTATTCCGCACATTCTGGAGCTGATTTTCAAGCTGCTGGAATGTAGAGAAGAAGGAGGTCTCTCTGCAGTGCGTAGCATTTTCAGGGTTTTGATTGCCAAGCTTTTGACAGCAGCGCTGTCATGAGTCATGCGTTGAAGGGCTGGAACAGAAAAGAACAGAGCCAAGGTCAGAGCCAGCATCTGTGGGGGCCCGAGGAGCCCCTCTTGCCAGGGCCATCCAACCCAACTCTTGCCATGGACAAGAGGAAGCAGGGCCCAACGGGATCAGCCTGAAGGCACTGGCCAGCAAAACACCTCATGCCCCTGAAATCTCTCTCTGCTCTGCCCAAGCCTCATCCATGCAGGGAGCAGAGCCCTCCACAGCCAGGGCAGGATTGCAGCTCCCTGCCCAGGGTCTGTGCTCCTCCACCAGCCCCTGCTGACACCGCGCTGCCCTCACTCACCATTCATGACGAGTTGCAACTCTTCCTTCTGTCCCCTCAGGTACCTCCCGGCAATCCCTGGGAACACAGATGCTGTCAGGGCCCCAGCGGCACAGCTCCCCCCCAGTGGCACTGCTGGCCCGGCCACGCACCCTCCTGCCCTGGCAGGGCTGAGCCCGGGGCCTTCCCGCCTCGGGACTCCCCAGGGCTGGGCTGGCACAGGGCGGCAGCCACCAGGGCACTCGGGGCTCCCCAGCACATCCCCGGGCCGCATCCTGCTGCCGCTGCAGCAGCCGGGGCTGGGGCCAAGCTGCAGTGGGGCAGGGAGGGACCTTGTGGCTCACCAATGAACTTGATGGCTGCCTCTCGCAGGGGCTCCTGTGGGCTCTCAAGGTATGGAAGGGCCTGGCGCAGATGGTCAGCCACTCGGCTCCGGTCCTTTTCCAGCTGGAGAGAGCAGCAGGACACAGAGGGAAGGGTTGGCTGGGGCTCTGCCCCTTGGCTGGGCACTGCCTGCACC